ACAACTTGCATCCCTCCCAACTCCTGGTTGAGTTCCAACAGTACAGATCCCGTCAAATTCGTTGTCTCACTGTATGCACATGCCAGCCTAGACATCTCCCTCTTCATTCCAATGACAAGTCCAGGAAATGGTGGGGTGGATGCAGCCACAACCGCAGCATCATCCGGATCCCTGTGGAGGCTTTTTGATGATCATCCCCCGGCACAAGTCCTCCAGAGAGTGCTGATGCCGGAAGCTCCTCCTCGTATCGTATCTTAGTTCATTTTCTGGGTATCCAAGCCAGGCCTTGATCTTCTGCATAGAAACAAACAGACCCTTTGCCCACACTTTGAGCTGAGTCTTTTTTTATCCATTCAGTGACTGTGTATCTTTTGATTGGTGCATTGAGACCATTTACATTTAGGGTGATTATGGACAGGTATGTACTTATTGCCATTGCACTCTTTAGATTCATGGTTACCAAAAGTTCAAGGGCAGCTTCTTTACTATCTAACCATCTAACTTAACTCACTTATTATGCTATTATAAACACAGTCTGATGATTCTTTATTTTTCTCCCTTCTTTTTCTTCTTCCTCCACTCTTTATATGTTAGGTGTTTTATTCTGTACTGTTTGTGTTTCCCTTGGCTGATTTTGTGGATAGCTGATTTATTTTGCATTTAGTTGGTTTACTTCCTTTGCTGTGGTTTTATTTTCTCTGGTGACAGCTATTTAGCCTTAGGCATACTTCCATCTAGAGCAGTCCCTTTAAAATACACTGTAGAGATGGTTTTTGGGAGGTAAACTCCCTCAACTTTTGCTTGTCTGGGAATTGTATAATCCCTCCATCAAATTTAGAGGATAATCTTGTTAGATACAGTGTTCTTGGTTGGAGGCCCTTCTGTTTCACTGCATTGAATATATCATGTCATTCCCTTCTGGCCTGTTAAGTTTCTGCTGAAAAGTCTGATGATAGCCTGATGGGTTTTCCTTTGTAGGTGATCTTATTTCTCTCTCTGGCTGCTTTTAATAGTCTGTCCTTGTGTTTGATCTTTGCCATTTTAATTATTATATGTCTTGGTGTTGTCCTCCTTGGGTACCTTGTATTGGGAGATCTGTGGACTTCCATTGTCTGAGAGACTATTTTCTTCCCCAGCTTGGGGAAGTTTTCAGCAATTATTTCTTCAAAGACACTTTCTATCCCTTTTTCTCTCTCCTCTTCTTCTTCTGGTACCCCTATAATGCGAATATTGTTCCATTTGGATTGATCACACAGTTCTCTTAATATTCTTTCATTCCTAGAGATCATTTTATCTCTCTCTGCCTCTCCTTCTCTTTATTCCTGTTCTCTGATTTCTATTCCATTAACAGTCTCTTCCACGTCATCCAATCTGCTCTTCAATCCTTCCATTGTTTGTTTCATTTGTTATCTCGCTCCTGAATTCATCCTTTAGTTCTTGAATATTTCTCTGTAGCTCCATCAACATGCTTATGACTTTTATTTTAAATTCTTTTTCAGGAAGATTGGTGATTTAAGTCTCACCAAGCCCTCTGTCTGGTTTTTGATGGATTTTGGTTTGAACAAGGTTCTTCTGCCTTTTCATGGTGATGGTAGTGGTCACTGGCGAGTGGCACATGTGTCTGCTGGGAGAACAACGTCACTTCCTGCTTGCTGGTTGCCTCTCCTTTCTCCGCTGTTTGTGCTGGTTAACCGCACACAGGGAGCATCCTGTGGGTTAATCTCCTAGGCTGCCATGGGTGGGGTGGTCCTTGGGATGGCCTAAGGCACTGGTGGGGTTTGTAGGCCAGCAGGGCATGTTCTACCATGAGACCAGTACCCCTTCATGCCTCCCATCTCTGCTGTCTGTGCCAGTCAACCGTGCGCAGAGAGCAGCCTCTGTGTTAGTCCCGAGTTGCTGTGGGCAGTGTGGCCCTCGGGATGGCCTAGTGCACTGGTGGGAGTTGCCGGCCTGTGGCGTGTGGTCTGCCGCAAGAGCAAAGCCCCTTCATGCTCTTGGTCTTTGCGTCTCCACTCTGTGCCAGTCAACTGCACGCAGGGAGCAGCCTCTGGGTTAATCACGAGCTGCCTTGGGCAGCATGGTCTAAGGGGCTGGCGGGGGTTGCAGGCGAGTGGTGCATGTTCTGCCGTGAGAACAAAGCCCCTTCATGCTTTCCAGTCTCTGCACCCTTCTCTTCTGCCTTTGCTGGTCAACCACGCTCAGGGAGCAGCCTCTCGGTTAATGCTGTAAGCTGTTGTGGGTGGTGGTGCCCTCGGGATGGCCTAGGGCACTGGCAGGGGTCACAGACGAACAGTGTGTGTTCTGCCTTGAGAACAAAGCCCCGTCATGCCTCCCGGTCTCTGTGCCCGTGTCCACTGTCTCTGCTGGTCATCTGTGCACAAGGAGCAGCCTCTGGGTCTGTGCTAGTTATCCATGTGCAGGGAGAAGCCTCTGTGTTAAGCTTTGTAGTGATAGCATTTATTTTCTTAGGAAATTAGTATTTTTTAAGACAGCTGCAGATCTAAATAACATGAAATTAGCAAAGGCAATGAAAGACAACTAAATCATATATTCAGCCAGCCAGAATTCTTATACTTTTTAAACCTTTTTATATGATATAAAATACATTTTATTACTAGAAAATTTATGCTTTTCATATAAGATTTTCATCAGATTTAGTATTTTATATGGCTTTGAGTCTAAAGTAGGATCAATAAAAAATAGCTCTATCTGAATTTTCTTTGGCAGAATAATTTTTCTGAAAATGAGTAAATTTTGTATAAGAGGCTTTAAAAATTATTTTCATCTCTTCTAATTCCTTTAACATTTATATATTCCTTTTTTTCTCATTCATGTGTTCTTGGCTTATTTAATAGTTAAGATACTAAAATCAACATCTCTTATAATATAAAAAGCAGTGTTGAGTACTTAGTTTTAAATATTGATGGTGGCAGAGAGGGATTCATTTCATGGTTAAGTAAAGAAAATAATGAAGATGTATAGGAGCACATGAGCTCCCCTGAAGATAGTCATGGAGGCATAGGGCTGAAGTGTTGGGTGGTTTTAAGTCCCATGCTGCATAGATAATGGAGGAAGACAGTTCATGCTTACCTAGTTTGATATGGTTTTACATGAAGGAACACTTCCCTTACTACCTCAGGGGCAATCACATGCAAGCCATTATATATTAATCTGTGTAATAATCGTATATCAAAGTATTCAGATTGGTATTATGGCTGCAAGAATCTAAGTAGTGAGACTTTTACAGTAATCAAGGCCTGAGGAAATAAAGGACTGAGTTAGGAAGATTATAGTAGGAATGAACTGAAAGGGGCAGGCAATAAATATTTTTAAAAACTACATGAGTTAGAATCTATAGGACAGTGGTTCTCAAACTTTAACATGCATCAGAATCTCTTGGAGAGTTTGGTAAACAAATTGCTGGGTCTTACCCATAGTTTCTGATTGAGTAGATCTGGAGTGGGGCCTGAGAATTTACATTTATAACAAATTCCATGTAATAACATAATTGTCTAGGAATCACACTTTGAGAGTCACTGCTTTAAAGGTATGTAGAGTCTTTCCCAGCCCTACATTTTCTATCCTATAGAGAGTAAATGGCAGCATGTGAAAAATGAGCTAGGTGTTCTAATTAAGTATTTTTTTGTTTTGTTTTCTTTTTTAGGCCAAGTGATAATAGTAACAATAATTTGACATGCAAAATTGAAATCATAAACTCACTGGATATTGAAGAAAGCATTTGGTCCCCTAGGTTTGGGCTAAAGGGCAAAATAGATGTTACAGTTGGTGTGAAAATACATCGAGGATGTAAAACAAAATATAAGATAATGCCATTGGAACTGAAAACTGGCAAAGAATCAAATTCTATTGAACATCGTAGTCAGGTATAGATCTTAGTAAGAGAGTTATCTGTATGTTTAATGTATTTTTAAAAGGTGTCTTTTTTACATATTTTACTTCAATTCTGGTTATTGTTATTTGAGTTTCCTATAGTACTTTACAATTTTGAAGTATCTAATGCACTCATAATGTATTATAAATATATGCATGGCCACAGCAGAAAGTTTTCCCTAGCAAAGAAATACCACAGCTGAATTTATAAGCTGGTGTTGCCACGTTTATGCTGCCATACTAGTAGTCTAAACAGATAACTCTTAAAAAAGAATGCCTTGTCATATAAGTTGGGGAAACCAAGCATATTTGGAGATTTAATGATGCACACATTACATATAAAATTTCTGAGAAATCTTAAAGTAATACAGATTTATTTTAGCTGTGTTTAACCCAGTGCTTTCTAAGCCTAAATTACCATGGAACTAGTATTTTCATGTAATATCTTAGGAAATATCAGTGTAAATTCATTCTTTTATTTCCAACCTTTGATTATATTGATTTTATCTAAAAAGAAATACAGAATTGTGTCTTGCCATTAGGTTAAATTCAAGTTTTTTATTATTATTTTTTCTTTTGGTAAATATAACAATCTTCTATTCAAAATTATCTGAAATTTAAATTAAAGTGACTTAAGAAATCAAAATAATTAACATAAAGTTCTATTTTGTTTTCTAATTATTTCCATTCTGGCTGCCCATTTCCACAATAGTAGTCTATGGTGTATTTTATACACTTTTAAATCAGCAAAGATTAAACTAAAGGATAGCAATAGTATTTTTTGCTGTAATATATATTGGGGGAATAAATTATATGACAACATAGCATTTGTAACATAATTTAAATTTCCTTTTTGCCCTCGGAATTTCACATATTATTTCATCAGATTTTATATAAAATAAGGTTTAGGTTCAAAATACTGAATTGTGTAATAGGAATTAAAGAGACTCTTACTAAATTTTTCTTGCTATTTTTTTTCTTTCTCTTTTTTTTAATTGAAGTATAATTGATACATAATCTTATATTGGTTTCAATTTACTATTCTTAGTTGAGTACCAAATACCAAATATTCACATGTAAGTTTTTCTATTTAGGAATGACAAGTGATGTTATTTTGTTGTTTAGCCTATTGTTGGGTTTTATTAGATACTGGAGGCAGAGAAAAAATAGGTCTTCCATATTAGAAGACTTGAATTTTTCACTCTGTAGTACAGAAGTGGCTGAAATTATGAATTAAAGACTTGGCTAGATTAAAGCCCTCTTCAGGAAGGAAGATCATGCCAAGAAAGAAGAAAAGCTGTTTTTGAAATTAAAGATTTGAAGAAATGTGTTCTGTGTACATGAAACTGAAAACATTTTTTTTACTTCATTAAGAACAAGTTTGATGAAGACCACTTTGAAAGCTTAAAAGGAGGAGAAATATAAAAGCATTTAAGCATATAAAGTAGTCTAGATTCAAAGACTTCTTTCTTCTACAGTTGCTGATCTAAATTGTAGTGCCTTCAAGGCAAATAATATTATTGTATTTAATTTTGTTCAGTTGGAACTTTTTGAAGAAGAGAAGCTGCAAGAAGAACTTTTACAAATAAAACAGTATTTCTTGTATTTAAAAAATGATGAAATTGGTTAGAACAAAGCTCAAACAAAAATATTGGAGTTTATATTGCATATTCATTGTGCAAGAAAGGAGTCATTGAAAAAAACAGTAGTAATTCATTGAGTTATATAGATAATGGGGATGCAGAAAGACATAGACTTGCTCTCTTAGAAGATGTAACCTTTTTACTTTAGTAACACAGAAAAAATTTATGTTACAAACTAAATTAAAGAAGATATTTATTTTATAAATGGATTGTATTCTAGAAGTCATTTTTAAGTCAGTAATTTGGCACTTGAAACACATTTCCTAAAGGAAAGATACTACATGGAGCTTTAATCCCTAAGTCAGCTCACAAAATAAGTTAACTGTTTAACTTGTGGCATAATTGAATTGTAATTGTAATAATAGTGTACAAATGGGGGAATTTCCTTTCAGACATTTTTCCCCTTCTAAAAAGTCCCAGAAGCAGAGTCCATATAACTCTCCTGTGACAGTTCCCATGGAGGGAAAAACTTAACACTGGAGGACAATTAGTTTTGGATGACTCCCTTGGTCCACAGCCCCAGGCTTTACCCGGTCATTTATGAGTTTATTTTATTTTTAAAAAGTTTTATTTGGTACCTATGCTATATCAGGGAACACCTATGCTTGTAAGGAGGCCTCCCAAACATGCATTATAGGCTCAAATGTTGAAGCAACAGCCCTTCATAAGGTTCCTATGTTACAGATGAATTTAGGATACCAAGCTAACATATCAAACTGTGGCATGATAGTTTCCCAAGGCTGAACAGTTCTACATTTTGCTTTGTAGGCATTTGAGGTTACTATAGTATTCCTATAAATGTCCTTGAACATTTAGGATCTGGGATTGTATTTTTGCAAAATTTATGTGTTGGGGTTTCTTCTATATTTCTATTAACGTTTGCTAATTGCAGAAGCACCATTGTTTGTGATAGGAGCAAAAGAATGGAAGTCAATGAAATTTATTTTTGTTTTTTGTAAGCTTATCTTTGGACATTTAATGATGAGTTTGTAGATATAATTAATATTTATGCTACAGATAATACACTTTGCCTTCCATAAATTACTACGTTTTAAATGTAGCTTAGAAAATAAGACTATAATTATAATTTGAAAGTATACTTAGGCATGTTAATTATAATTACTGTCAGCATTTTAGAATTTTATGATTTAAAGACATTATTATTTTGATCTTAGAGATCTCTTGGAAAACAAACTGTCTTGTTGTTAGCTTGTATATATGACTAACAAATGACTTGTTCTTGCTGCTAAGGTGTTATTATGAACTACAGGAGCTATTTCTGACTTGTCTCAGATGGTTTCTTTGAAGAGCACCACATACATCCAATTCAGTAATGATTCCTCATGCCCTGGGAAAACAGTAAACTCTGTAGAGTTAGTCTCAGTAACTATGACATAAGTAATATGCATTTTATTGTTCCATTCAATTATTTTTATTTTACTTTTTAATGAAGTATAGTTGATATACAATCTTACATTGGTTTCAAGTATGCAACAGTGATTCTACAGTTACCCACATTATTAAATCCTCACCCCAACTAGTGCAGTTACTGTCTTTCAATGTTAGAAAGATGTTAAAGAATCATTGGCTATATTATCCATGCTGTGCTGCCATCCCCATGACCAACTTATATTATGATTGAGAATTTTTGTGCCCCTTTATCCCCCTCACTAACCCCACACCCATCCCAACCCCTCTCCCATGGTAACCACTTCTCAGTGTCTATAAGCCTACTGCTGTTTTGTTCATTTTGTCTTATTTTGTTTTTAGAGTCCACAAATAAGGGAAATAATATGGTATTTGTCTTTCTTTGCCTGGGTTATTTCACTTAGCATAATACCCTCTAGGTCCATTCATGTTGTTGTAATGGCAGGATTTCTTTCTTTTTTATGCCTTTGTGTATATGTACCACAGGTTTACTAATTTTAAACAGTGAAAATAGTGTCTAAAGACTATTAACTTCAAAATGTAAAACAGTTTGATAAATTTCCCTCTTTAATTTATTAGAAATCTACATGTTTACTGTCTAAGAAAAATTCTAAATAGTTTTGTCTGCATAAAACTGAGTAGCATAAATTTATGTTTTTTGGAGGTTAAATATTTGACATTGAATTTATTGTTAACTTTTACTAATTTGGCTCATGTTATTTTCAAAGTGGAAATAGCTTAAATGATCTTTTGATTTTGAAATTACAAAAGTGTTGATTGCAAAACATATATGGAAATAGAAAAAGTTAAAGTTTTATTTGACAAAATACACAATGTTTTCACAGCTTGTTCTGTACACACTGCTAAGCCAAGAGAGAAGAGCTGATCCTGAGGCTGGCCTGCTCCTCTACCTCAAGACTGGCCATATGTACCCTGTGCCTGCCAACCATCTTGATAAAAGAGGTTGAACTGTTTTCTCAGTTTTACTTCTCTGGGTTTCATTTATTTTTTCCTCCAACTTTTCGTGATAAGCATATATATCTGACAGTTGCTCATTGAGCTTACTTGTACTTTGTAGTTGTGGTATTTTTAAAAAAGAATTTTAACTATGTATTGTAAGTTGAAAACATTATTGGCCTTTAAAAATTTTATTATACAAAACTCTATTTTAAACCTCCTATCCTATATTTGAGACACTCTAGGTAGCTGTGTTTATCCTTAGCATTCAGCTAAAAACACCAGCTTCACAATGTGCGATACATGGTTATTTAAAGAACTTAAATCATGTGAACAAAAATTGAAGGAAATATACCAAAATGATAATAGTGGTTATTCTAGTATAGTGAGAAATATGAATGTTGTTCTTTACTCTTTTTTACAGTTTTGAATCTAAATGTTTCATATATGGAAAAGATACATAATATACTTAATTCTTTAAAAATACCCATCCTTTATTTTTGCTATAGAATTACTAAGGCTAAGAAACCAGATGGCATTCTCTTTGTTTCACCGTATTAGCAAATCTGATACTGGAAAGGAGAAGGCAAAGCTTGCTTGTTTGCCCCAGATAATTGAAGAGCAACAAACCTGCAAATATTGTTCACAAATGGGCAACTGTGCTCTTTATAGCAGGTAAATGCACTGTCTTCTAGAAGTATTTCAGTGACGTATGCATTCACTTCAAAATGATTGGACATTCTTGGCTGGTCTGGCATCGATGATTTCATTTTAGTTATTTTTCTTTGTAGTATTTCTAAAAAGGAATAAAAAAATCACAGTTCATATATATATTTTTTAAATTATTTTTTATTGAAGGGTAGTTGACACACAGGATTACATTAGTTTCAGGTGTACAACACAGTGATTCAACATTTATATACATGATAACTCTAGCTACCAGCTATCACCATACAAAGTTGTTACAATATTTTGACTATATTCCTTATGCTATACATTACATCCCGGTTACTTATTTATTTTACAATTGGAAGTNTCATCAGTCTCCAATCTTCTAAAGCATAACGAACAAGTTCTTACATGGAGAACAAATTCTTACATAGTGAATAAGTTACATGGTGAACAGTACAAGGGCAGTCATCACAGAAACTTTTGGTTTTGCTCATGCATTATGACACAGTTCATATTTTTAATAAGCCTTTTTCCTTGGGTAATAATTGAAGGCTTTTTACACTTTTTCTAAAATTGGATATTTTAATCTGGCTGGCTGCATATAGATTATGCAGAAATGAAATAATTTTAAGACTTAGGAATCTGGTGAAGATATAGTATAGACATTTTGATTACAATACTTTTCTTAAATGTTATCTCAAGAAGTATTCCTTATCTTAGTTGCTATTTTAATTTCAGGCCTTTGTAGTTAAAAACCAGAAATTGGTTCCTCTGGACCATTTGATAGTCCACTGGATCCAGTGGACTTGTCTTGTTTATATGTGTCTATTTTTCCACATAAGGGAAATGTATTAGCTGTCTTGTGAACAGTCATGTGTATATATGCCTTCATAGGCCAGTGAAAGTTTTGAAGGAAACAAAATAAGAGTTAGATATAAATACAGACTAGGTAACAAGATCAGATTAGAATCAAAGTTGTAATTCAGCCTAGAAATTCACACACAGGGTTTCTTAAAGTACTGTATCAAAGGATCTCTTAATGTCAAAGACTGTGCACCATGGGTAGTTGGCCTATAGTACAAGCACGTTTTTTTGAAATGTCTTTTTAAGTTTAATTTTTATTTTTTTATTCAAGTATAGTTGATACACAATATATTGGTTTCAAGTATACAACACAGTGGTTCAACAATTACACATATTATTAAATCCTAACCCCAACTAATGCAGTTACTGTCAACATAGGAAGATGTTACAGAACCTTGGCTATTCTCCATGCTGCACCTCCATCCCCATGACCACCTTACATTATGATTGAGATTTTTGAGCTCCTTTATTCCACGTACCCTCTTCGCTCACCTACCCCAACCTCTCCCCCATTGGTAACCACCAGTCACTTCTCAGTGTCTGTGAGTCTACTGCTTTTTTGTTCGTTGTGTTTTGTTTTGTTTTTAGATTCCACAAATTAGTAAAATCATATGGCTTTGTCTTTGAAATCTTACTTTTTTCTCAATGTTTTGTATGCTATCCTATATTTATTTCTATATAAAATTTAAAGATTGATATTCAGCAAATTGATACCCTAGAAGATTCTTCATATTTCTATGTTGACTTTCTTATGGCACAGCGAGATGTGATTTTGAGAAATGCAGTTGTACAAAAAGCCAAATCTTGCTACATATAGGAATGAAGACTAGAGTATACCAAACTTAAGTAGTTTTTAGGGGGACAGTCATTGAAGGCAAAATAATGCAGTACAGTTAATTCTTGAACAACTCAGGTCTTGGGGTGCCAACCCCTTCACAGTTGAAAAGCTGCATATAACTTGAATCTCCAAAACTGAACTAATAAAATAGCCCACTATTAACTGAATCCTTACTTATAACATAAACAATACACTAACACAGTTTGTTATATGTGTTATATACTGTATTCTAACAGTAAAGCTAGCAAAAACAATTCTTTTTTAAAATTGTTGCAGATCTCCAAAAAGTTTTCCAATGTATTTAGTGAGAAAATCTGCATATAAGTGGATCCATGCAATTCAAACCCTTGTTCAAGAATCAACTGTATTGAATTTTCTTGTGCATTTTTTTTGTACACATTTGGCTTATAAAATGTTGAAATAACTTTTAAAGAAAACTATGGGCTGTTGTTACAATGTTATGCTGTTCATCATATATGTGTACTTATATTAGAAATACCTCATTTCGTAGCCAGCCAGTGAAATGTTCTGTGTACATCTCTGACTTGGAGCTTTATCTTTAGAGCAGTTGAACAACAGATGGATGACAGTTCTGTTCCAATTGGCATGCTGTCCAAAATAAAAGAAGAAACCCAGCATCTAAAGGTTACACACTTGGAGTATTTCAGTCTTTGGTGTCTAATGTTAACCCTAGAGTCAAAATCAAAGGATAATAAAAAAAATCACCAAAATATATGGTTAATGCCTGCTTCAGAAATGTAAGTGGTCCAATTAATACAGTAAAATTTCAGTAATTTGGATTAGCTAGTGGAATGGCATTTGGAATTCATGACAAATACAGGTCATGTAGCATGTTAAATATGTGCAATTTCATATATTCATGCCAATTCCAGGTGGCTTTCAATGAATTGTGTCTAAGTAGATCACGGTTGTTAATTTTCAGTAGAAATCTTATTTTAGAAAGTAAATCTTTTTCATCAGTGAAGAGTATAAATTTGAATATTGTAAGGTGAATTTTGGCATATTGATAGAGTACAAATTAATGATGTTTTATTTAGTATTTTAAATACTAGTATTTAAAAGTTCATATATTTTTTAAGTTTTGATACAGATTCAAATTTTGTAAAACTGGCCAATCTTGTATTTTGTGAGATCCATTTTTTTTTACAAGGTACTTGTAAGATTGTAATATTGTATATCTTTGCATAGTATTTTTCTTATTATTTGGTTGTTTTTGATCCATTTCCTTGCAGAATGAATATTGATCATAATGTGACTTAATGTGACTTTAGAAATAATTGGATCATTAGTTCTATAATAGTAGACTTTAACATAAGGAAACCACCCAGTGGAGAAAGTTAGATAGTTTTTGATAGATTGCAGAAGTACAGTGAATATGTCATGTATATACACCAACAAACTTCTGAGGTTATGTAGTATTTAATAGTGACTAAGAGATTGTAAATGCTTAATACTTATTTCTTAAAAGAAGTGAAATTGTCAATTTGCTTGCTATTATTATTATTTTTGTTAAGATATCATTGATACACAATCTTTGAAGGTTTTTACAACATTCACGCGTATTATCAAGTCCCCCCCAAACCTCATTGCAGTCACTGTCCATCAACGTAATAAGATGTTACAGAGTCACTACTTGTCTCCTCCATGCTGTACTGCCTTCCCCATGAGCCACCTACATTATGTGCGCTAATCATAATGCCCCTTAATCCCCTTCTCCCTCCCTCCCCACCCATCCTCCCCAACTCCTCCCCTTTGGTAACCGCTAGTCCCTTCTTGGAGTCTGAATCTGCTGCTGTTTTGTTCCTTCAGTTTTGCTTTGTTGTTATACTCCACAAATGAGTGAAATCATTTGGTACTTGTCTTTCTCCTCTTGGCTTATTTCACTGAGCGTAATACACTCTAGTTGCATCCATGTGCTGCAAATCACCTGCCATTATTTTAATAACAAAAAATTATAAGTGCTCTTACACATACTAAAGAAATAGGTTACTGTTGCCACATCAGATTTAAGGACACGTTATTACAGTGTGCTTCTGTAATGTTACGTGTGTCAGCACAGAAATAGAGGTGTTATTCAAGGATCAAAGTGCTGATCCCAGCCTCTCTGTGCTACAAGGGAGATGCTCCCTAGCACCTGTCTGGAGGCCTATTGGTGAGATTATTTTAAAACCAATAGACTGTTTCCTCAGCATTTCTAACACTTGAGTATAAATTATGGAAACTATAAAAATGACAGACTCAATATTAGTGCTTTTATAAGGGATCAGATGACTAAGTACAGTTGACCCTTGAACAACTTGGGGATTAGAGATGCTGACCCCCTTGCCCCCACGCCTGCTGCAGTTGTAAATGTGCATATAACTTTTGGCTTCCCCAAAACGTAACTACTAATATACTACTGTTGACCGGGAAACCTTACCAATAACATGAGTGGTTGATTAACACATGTTTTTTGTTAATGTGTATACAGTATTATATACTGTATTCTTAAAATAAAGTCACAGAAAATATTTTTTTAAATTGTCACAAATCCCCAAAAAAACTTCCATGTGTTAGAAAATCCATGCCTAAGTAGACTCACACAGTTCAAACCCATTACTGTTTAAGGGTAGGCTGTAAATTGTTGGAAAATGCAGAGTGTTTTTGTATGTGATGTAAATGGAAGCATTATTTCTCTGTTTCTCTTTCTCCTTCATAGGGAGGAAAATGGCAACTGCATTGGAAACCTAATCAGAATAGAACGTGTAAGGACAGTTTGTGATGGACAATATTTGCATAATTTCCAACGTAAAAATGGTGCCATGCCCATCACAAATCTAATGGCAGGTGACAGAGTTATTTTAAGTGGAGAAGAGAGAACACTGTTTGCATTGTCTAGGGGATATGTGAAAGAGATTAACATGACAACAGTAATCTGTTTATTAGACAGGTAATGAAATGTTCCCTTTTGTGTGTGGGGGAGAGTGAGGAGTAACAGTTTTATTGACATAAAATCACATACCATACAGTTAATCCATTTAAATTGTACAATTCAGCAGCTTTTAGTATTGTTATGCAACCATCATGAAAATCAATTTTAGAAACATTTTCATCACCCCAGGAAGAGCCCTGTGCCCTTTAGCATTCACTCCCCCAGCCCTAGGCAGCCACCAGTTTCCTTTCTGTCTCTATAGACTTGCCTGTTCTGAGCATTTCATATAATGGGATCATACAATATGTGGTCTTTTGTAGCTGTTTCACCTGGCATACTGTTTTCAAGGTTCATCTTCATGTAGTAGCAGGTGTCAGTACTTCAATCCTTTTTTTAAAAAACAGGTAAAATTCATATAAAATGGACCAATAACCATTTTAAAATGTACAGGTCAGTGGTATTTAGTACATTGAAAATATTGTGTAATCATTACTTCTATCTAATTCCAGGACACTTTCTTAATCCTGAAGCTTCATACCCATTAAGCAGTCACTTGTGACTTCTCCCTCCCTTCAGCCTCTGGCAACAATTAATCTGCTTTTCTGTCTTTGGATTTATCTATTCTGAGTATTTCATGTGAATAGAACCACAATACATGACCTTTTTTGTTGGGCTTCTTTTGCTTAGCATAAGGTTTATGAGGTTCACTTTGGCATTTATCAATACTTCATTTCTTTTTATGGCTGAATAATATTCCATTATGTGTATAGACCACATTTTGTTCATCCATTCACCAGCTAAGTGACATCTGAGTTGTTTCCACTTTTGGGGTATTAATGGCAAGTGTTGCTACAAATAGTCACATACAAATTTTTATGTGAACATATTTTTATTTGCCTTTGTAGATACCTCCTAGTGGAATTGTTGCATCATGTGCTGATTTCATCTTTAACATTTTGAAAACTACCAACTGCTAAGTGTTTGCCTTGTACATTACTTTCCATACTGCTAATGTGCACATAACCTCATCTAACTCTCATAACCACATGTGTGGCAGGCAGGACAGATACCCTGTGTTCGCTGTAAAGCTTATTTCTCCTTAGCACTATGGGCACTCATCATTTCAATCTCTCCTTTTTTTTAAAGAAAAAAAATTTTTTTTCCATTTATAGTTGTGATATATTTTATCTCAGTTAAAACAAAATGAGTTGATTTAAAGGAAAATATTAAATAGTAGAATAGTTGGTATGAAAATTTGTGGTATCCATATTCTCCAATATCCATATTCCCCTCTTCCACGTACTTCCTTATATTTCAGTGGAGGCATGTGTCACCATTTCTTAATGAATGTTGATCAGCAATTGGGGTGCAGTGACTTATGTGTAACTACAACAGAACTGTCCAGACTTGTTCTCTACCAATCTGTAATCCTAGTTAAGCTATAACCAAGCCTAGTCTGGGTTTCATGATATGAGAGTATGAACCATGATATTTCTGTTTTCTGTTAGGATTTCCTGTAATCTTTTGCAGTATTTATTTTAGTGTCTATTCCGTATTTGGTACTTTGCAAATCCTTGAGGAATTTATCATCTGTGGGTAGACAAATACATATTTCAGTCTAATATGACAAGTATTCAAATTGATGGGAACATGGAGGAGAGGCAACCCAATTTTAGAAAGCTCAGGGAAGGCTTTTTGAAAAAGATCATTCTGGATCTTCATTCTGTGGATTAATAAGGTAGACTGGTGAAGCACTGAGAAGAGTATACTGGATAGAGGAAACGTGGTGCATTAAGGCATGATGATGCAATAATATAGCTTGAAATGGAGCGTTCAGGAAAGTGTAGGTAATTATTTCTGGAATGTAATATATAAAGAAGGAAGAAATTGGAGGGGTCAGGTCATAGAAGGTCTTATATACTACATTAAAAAGTTTTGACTTTATTCATTCAGATGCATTGGAGAGTTTTAAACAGAAGAATGACAATAATCAGATTTGCTTTTTTCTGTGGATGCATTGTGGAAAATAGAGTTAATTAACGGAGGCAAAACTGAAGAAATCAGGGAACTATTATACTGGTCCAGGCTAAAGGTGACTGAGGGCAGGGTAGTTTTGGCAGAGAGGATGGAATGACTTGAAGAGTATTTAAAAAGTAAAATTGGCTGGCGTTTGTATATTGATTGGAAGTACGGGTTGGGGAGAGGGAGAGGGAAGGATCAAGGTAGCAGTGTAGATGCAGGTGCCACTAACTGAGATCAGGACTACAGGAGGAGGGTCAGGTTCAGCAGGGATGAAGAGTTGTTCAGTTTTGAATATACTGAATTTTCATAACTGGATTTTAACCAAGTGGAAAGATCTTGGTGCCTGCTGTATATCCAGCCTTGAAGCTTCTGGGGAACCAGGTGGGAGAGGAAGGTGAGATCGGGCCTGAAGATTTAGAGTCCTGCAGATTTAGATCCCCATGTAGGCATAGATCAAAGGGAAAATAACAAGAAAGAGTGGTGCAGAGAACCAGGGAGGGGACCCTAAGGAACACCAGGGTTTTAGAGGCTGGTGGAGGAGTGGGAGAAGGCCTCAGGAAAGAGACCTGTACCCCAGGCTTGAGGAGGAAGGAGCTGTCTGCTCAGGATCCCTCTAAGCATGATAAGCCAGGTTAAATTGCAAGGCCAAGTGAATTGTCAGCAAATGTAGGGTCCTGATTTTTAACTGCTTTGACCTTGGTGCCTGGTGCCGTCCCCTTCTCCCACCAGTCTCAGGTCTCATGCTGTCTTTGATTGGCAAGTGTGAATTTGGGGCTGGTAGCCATTTTAATAGCTATGCTGGCCCATTTGCTCTTTTAGCAGACAGCTACCTATTTCTTATACAGACCAATTGATGATGTTAATTGAAATACATCTGTGTGCACTTGTTTGCTGTTTTAGGAACTTGTCAGTACTTCCAGAATCAACTTTGTTCAGATTGGACCAGGAAGAAAAAAATTGTGATATAGATACCCCATTAGGAAATCTTTCTAAATTGATGGAAAATACTTGCATCAGGTTTGTAACAATGAATGAATCTGAATTTTACCCCATCTTCATAAGGAATATTACTAAAAGCATTTTTTTCTTTTTAGCCAAAAACTTCGAGATTTAATCATTGACTTTCGTGAACCCCAGTTTATATCCTACCTCAGTTCTGTTCTTCCACATGATGCAAAAGATACCGTTGCCTGCATTCTAAAAGGTATGCTATAATCAGCATGTCTGCTTCCATTAAGCTTTCTTGATTCTGTTTATAATTTTATCTGTATTACAGTCTATAATTTAATTTATTAAACTTAAAATTATACTTTTCAGACAGACTCTTTGGTAGAAATTTATATATATCCTTTGATGTCACCATGATATTTTCTTACTTTGAAAAGATGTACTGAAGGACAGACTTGAATAGAGGCTGCTTTTCTTATAAAACAGTTAATTTGCTCATTAAAATTCAACACTTTTTCCTGTTATTTTTAAATTTAAATGTAGGTTTGAATAAACCTCAGAGGCAAGCAATGAAAAAGGTACTCCTTTCAAAAGACTACACACTCATCGTGGGCATGCCTGGAACAGGAAAAACAACTACAATATGTACTCTAGTAAGGTTATTCTTTTGCTTAGAAACTAAATATTTAAATCAGCTTCTCAGTCAGAGAATGTGATATTTGATACCAAAAGGGATGAATTTTAAATCAAAATGCCTTTATTTCCAATTATCTTTTTAGAATGACATGAGAAATAGAAAAGCTAAATCATGTAGATTTCTTACATTTAGGATTATCTAAGGTCCCTTTCTGTTGGTAGCATATGTATCATTGTTTTCCTTTCCTTTAAAAAATGATAAATTGTACCAAGGCAGCTGAAATATGTTTCTTGGGTTTTTTTACATGTCAGTAAATTTCTGAGCAGTCTTAGAGTAATCAGAAGGATGACAGAAAATATTTACTGATTGATACTGTGTGCCAGACACCATTCAAGTTTATATGTATTGTTTTATTATCACTAATAATATATTATTAATGTCATTAATAACATGACAATAATGCCATGCTATTTTTATAAAACATTTTGGTTTTATAGTTTCCAAAAGAGTTACATGGCTTAGCTCTTAGATATGCTTCCTATTAAGTTTTCTGATTCTATTTGAAAAATGTAAACATGTTAAAATTTATCTGGAATTAAAAGTAATTCTGTTTTCCTTTCTCTTATTCATTATTAGGTACGAATTCTCTATGCCTGTGGTTTTAGTGTTTTGTTGACCAGCTATACTCACTCTGCTGTTGACAATATTCTTTTGAAGTTAGTGAAGTTTAAAATTGGATTTTTGCGCCTGGGTCAGACTCAAAAGGTTCATCCAGGTATCCAGAAATTTACAGAGGAGGAAATTTGCAGATCAGAGTCCATTAAATCCTTAGCCCTTCTAGAGGAACTCTACAATAGTCAAGTAAGTACAATTATTGTATAATAATACTGACAATAGTTTTTGTAGCTGAGAATGAGGGCAGAAAATATATTCTGGGAGATTCAGTCACATTGAACAAATTTGCATGTGTTTAATTTATAGAAGTCAATGGACGAGTTTATTAATTTGTACTTTGCTGTTTGCTTCTAAACTGAAATGAAGTTGCTGGTTTATTATTCAGGGCTCTTCTGGTTTACTGTATCCTAGTAAAGGAAAATTCTGTTTCTCTCTACTCAGAACACTTCTGACACTAAATACCTGGAGTTAGTGCAGACCCCACTGGTTCAGGGTTCATGAGACTGCCCCAAACTTCAGTTCTCAGTTGCACAGCTGAGCCTCCTCTGCTTCTGAACAACCATGAATAAATCAGGGTTGGCATAACCCTCTCCTTGGGTTCAATAATTTGCTGGAATAGTTCACAAAACTCAAGAAATTGCTTTTCTTCCTATGTTACTGGCTATATAATACACTCAGAAGTAGCCAAATGGAAAAGATGTGGAGGGGAAGGTATGTGGAAAGGGGTATGGAGTTCTTATGCCCTCTCCAAGTAAACCACCCTTCCATCACCATGTGTTCACCAATCCTGGAGCTCTCCCAACATGTTTGTTGAGGGTTTTTATGGAGATACTGTTACATAGGCATGATTAATTAAATCATTGGCCATTGGTCAATAGCTTGATGCCCAGTCCCTCTCCCTTTTCTGGTGGTGGCGAAGTAGAGGTAGATTAGGTGGAAGTGGAGCTGAAAGTTCTAGCCTTCTGATTACAGGGTTGGTTCCTTCACAACCAGCTTCCATCCCTTATTAGCATAAACTCAGGTATGGTTGAAAGAGGCTTTTTTTTTTTTATTAAGGTGTCATTGATATATGCAATCTTATAAAGATTTCACATGAGCAACATTGTGGTTTCAACATTCACCTATATTATCAAGTCCCTCACACATACCCCATTGCAGTCACTGTCCATCAGCGCAGTAAAATGCTATAGAATCACTACGTGTCTTCTCTGTGCTCTCCTGTTTTCTCCGAGACTACCTATATTATGTGTGCTAATTATGCCCCTTAATCCTCTTCTCCCTCCCAGCCCACCCTCTCAAACCCTTCCCTTTGGTAATTGCTAGTCCCGTCTTGGAGTCTGTGAGTCTGCTGATGTTCTGTTCCTTCAGTTTTGCTTCGTTGTTACACTCCACAAATGAGTGAAATCATTTGGTACTTGTCTTTCTCCTACTAGCATATTTCACTGAGCATAATGCCTTCTAGCTCCATCCATGTTGTTGCAACTGGTAGGATTTGTTTTCTTATGACTTAATATTCCATTGTGTATATTTACCACATCTCTACTGATGGACACTTAGGTTGCTTCCATATCTTGACGACTGTAAATAGTGCTGCGGTAAACATATGGTTGCATATGTCTTTTTGAATCTGAGAACTTGTATTCTTAGGGTAAATTCCTAGAAGTGGAATTCCTGGGTCAAATGATATTTCTATTTTGAGTTTTTTGAGGAACTTCCATATTGCTTTCCACAATGGTTGATCTAATTTACATTCCCACCAACAGTGTAGGAGGGTACCCCTTTCTCCAGATCCTCACAAGCATTTGTTGTTCCTTGCCTTTTGGATGTCGGCCATCCTAACTGGTGTGAGGTGATCTCTCATTGTGGTTTTAATTTGCATTTCTCTGATAATTAGTGATGTGCAGCATCTTTTCATGTGCCTGTTGGCCATCTGAATTTCTTCTTTGGAGAAATGTGTGTTCAGATCCTCCACCCATTTTTTAATCAGGTAATTTGCTTTTTGGTTGTTGAGGCGTGTGAGTTCTTCATATATTTTGGATGTTAACCTCTTATCGGATATGTCATTTACAAATATATTCTCCCATACTGTAGGGTGCCTTTTTGTTCTGCTGATGGTGTCCTTTGCTCTACAGAAAATTTTTAGTTTGATATAGTCCCACTTGTTCATTTTCACCCCTGTTTCCCTTGCCTGAGGAGATATGTTCATGAAAAAGTTGTGCATGTTTATATTCATGAGATGTTTGCCTATGTTTTTTTCTAAGAGTTTTATGGTTTCATGACTTACATTCAGGTTTTTTATCTATTTCAAGTTTACTTTTGTGTATGGAGTTAGTAATCCAGTTTCATTCTCTTACATGTAGCTGTCCAGTTTTGCCAACACCAGCTGTTGAAGAGGCTGTCATTTCCCCATTGTATATCCATGGGTCCTTTATCGTATATTAATTGACCATATATGCTTGGGTTTGTATCTGGGCTTTCTATTCTGTTCCATTGGCCTATGGGTCTGTTCTTGTGCCAGTACCAAATTGTCTTGATTACTTTGGCTTTGTAGTAGAGCTTAAAGTTGGGGAGCATAATCCCCCCAGTTTTATTCTTCCTTCTCAGGATTGCTTTGGCTATTCGGGGTCATTTGTGGTTCCATATGAATTTTAGAACTATTTGTTGTAGTTTGTTGAAGAATGCTGTTGGAATTTTGATAGGGATTGCATTGAATCTGTAGATTGCTTTAGGCAGGATGGCTATTTTGATATTATTAATTCTTTCTATCCATGAGCACGGGTGTATTTCCATTTATTGGTGCTTTTAATTTCTCTCATGAGTGTCTTGTAGTTTTCAGGGTATAGGTCTTTTACCTCCTTGGTTAGGTTTATTCCTGAGTGTTTTATTCTTTCTGATGCATTTGTAAATAGAATTGTTTTCCTCATTTCTCTTCTAGTTCATCGTTAGTATATAGGAATGGGGCAGCGCCCTCTAGTGCAGATGCTCTACTCTTGAGCTGTGGAGCACCTGGAGCAGTAGGGGGCGTGGGGTCACAGTTGAGTGGCACCAGTGCCTGATGGGAGGAAAGAGTTCTTAACTGTTTCCTGGCTGCAGTGCCTGCCTCCACTGCCTGGTCCAGTGGGCCAAGTGTGCAAGGAGGAGCCTCTGCCTTATGCCCCTGTAGTTGCCATAGGTGGGGGTGCCCTCTGGCTGGCCTGGCACGATTGTTGGGGCAGCAGGTGTGCGGACTGGTGTGCACTGGGAGGAAGGAGCAGCAGGCTGCATACCTCAGTGGGGGCACCTCAGGAACATTTAAAGCTCCTGAAAGCTCCCAGCCTGCTGGACTGAGTGTACCAGAACAATTTTATACACTTGTCCTTTCTCCTGAGCAGCAAGCTCTATGTAATCCTTGTCCCTTTAGCACCCCTCTAACTGTTGGAAAGTCTTTCAAAGTGCTCGCCTTTCTTTTGTCCCGGAGCAGCCGGTTGTGGGGACCTGTTCTCCACAAGTGGCTGGAATCTCAGTCTCTCTGAGCATTCTGCCTCACTTTGCTTTCCAACCCCACTAATCTCCAGAGCACCATGTAATGTAGGTTCATACTCCCGGAGCAGATCTCTAGGGGTGGGTGTTTAGCAATCCTGGGCTTCTACCCCCTCACTGCTCCATTTCTCTTTCTCCCATCTGTGAGCTGGGGTCGGGGGAGGGCTTGGGTCCTGCTGGATCATGGCTTTCCTACTTTGCTCTTTTCTGTGTGGCCTTCTCTTCTCCCCAAATGTAGACAGTTTGTTCTGCAGGCTTTGGGTTGTTCTTTCAGGATTAGTTGTATTTGCTGTATTTTCATGTTATATGTGGTTTTGGGAGGAGGTTTCTGCCTCACTTGTCACACTGCCATCTTTTCCTCTGCCTCTGAAAGGGGCTTCTTATAATTAACAAAAGATGTTCTTTACAGTCCTGACCCTTAGAAAATACCTAGTGTTTTAAGAGTTCTGTGCCAAGAACAAGGAAGAAGATGAAATATATATTTCTTAATTATATTACAATATCACACCTAGAAAACTACTCAAGGATTGTTTAGTGGGTTTGAACTAGAAGCAATGGTACATGAGCAGTCTTGTGATAGGTATTTCTAGACTTTAATGTAGAACCTAATATTTTTTAAAATTATTATTAAGATATTATTGATATACACTCTTATGAAGGTTTCACATGAAAAAACAATGTGGTTACTACATTTACCCCAAGTCCCCACCCATACCCCAATGCAGTCATTGTCCATCAGTGTAGTAAGATGCCGCAAATTCACTGTTTGCTTTCTCTGTGCTACACTGTTTTCCCCGTGATCCTGCACACCATGTGTACTAAACATAATACCCTTCAGTCCCCTTCTCCCTCCCTCCCCACCCGCCGTCCCACACCCCTCCCCTTTGGTAACCATTAATCCCTTGGAGTCTCTGAGTCTGCTGCTATTTTGTAGAACCTAATTTTTATTTTATTATTTAATATCTGTGTATGTTTTTACTGGGACGTCTTGATAATTTTTGTCTTTAAAAAATGATCTGAAATAAATTAGATTTAATAAGCTGTTCCTTCAGCTCCTTTGCCTGTCTACTATCTATAGTAGTTATTGAAGAAGTTTGAAGTGGCTGAGATGTTTATCTGGTTGACTTTTTCTAAATTAACCTTTATTTTGATATAATTATGGATTCACATGCAGTTTGAAGAAATAATAGGTCATGTATACCATGTTGGTCAGAAGTAACATTTTGCAGAACACTAGTAAAATATCCAACCAGAATATTGACATTGATACAGTCTAGATACTGAATAGTTCCATTACCACAAGGATCATTTATGTTGCACTGTTATAACTGTACGCACTTCATTCCTACCCCATCCTCTTCTTAACCCCTGATAACCACTTATATGTTCTCCATTTCTGTAATTTAGTCGTTTCAAGTATGTTATATAAATGGAACTATACAGTATGCACCTTTTGGGATTGCTGTTTTGCATTTATCCTAATACCCTGGGGATTCAGTTTGTTGCATGTATCAATTTTTGTTCCTTTTTATTGGTAAGGATTGTTCCTTGTATGCATATACCACAGTTTGTTTAACCATTCATCCATTGAAAAACATCTAGATTGTTTCCAGTTTTTGGCTATTATGAATAAAGCTGCTATAGACATTAATGTATAGGGTTTTGTA